ACACTAGCAAAAAATCACTAACTCATAATCCTGAGTACCTGAGGTTACCTGTGAAATGCGGGGAAGCCCGCAAACATTACCAATACGTCTGCTTATCTGTAAGTAATATTTATATTACAGCAGAATCTAACAACAGAGAGCCTAATCAGGACTAAATCCCTCTTTACTAGGTTCTGTAGAAACTGACACAGACATGGTCCCTTCAATGTAGAGCTTTGACTAAAACTCTAATGCTATTAAGTCCAGGTTCATGAGAATTAAATGTACATTTTTTAAATAGTGTTTTCCTGGAAGAAAAACAGGAAATCTATGTTGTGATGTGACCAGCTCCACCATGGACATGAATATATACATAACTCAAAAGTGCTTTTAGCAGATTATTTCATGTAACCTATCAATCTTCAGGTCATGATCCACTGATTATCTTACTTTAGGTGGGTGTGTGTATCATTCTTGTGTGTAAATTAGACAGAGTAGGGAATACTTCATGATTTTTAAATGTGTGAAAGTCATCAAGGGAGGCCTCAGTATCTGGGCAATCAAACAAATAGCCTTTTATCCTTAATTCCCTATCACAGTGTTTCCCAATTGGTGCTCCGCAGAACCCTGGAGTTCTATGAAGCAAAAGCAAGGGTTCTGTGAAGAGGCAGCACTCCCCAGCCCCCTCTTAAAGAAACAGCTGCAGTAGGAATTGCAGTGGGGCTTCTCCCCACCCCCCTCAACAAAACGCGGCCCTAGGGGTTCTGTGGCCAATTAAAACTGGGAAACACTGATAGGGAATTCTTTAAAAAGAAAAGGAAGGTAGGTGTCTTGTCTTTGGCTGGGCTGCACCTCAGGGAAGAAGCCAAAGACCAAAGGGTGTGGAGACAGCCCTGGTTTGGAGGAGTAGCTGGAAAAGAGGTTTTAGTGTATGTTTGAAAAAGTTTGTACTGAGGTTTCAGTGCAGAATTTAGCTAAGCATTTCTTTTGATTTGTAATCTACTTTGCTCCACTATTACCACTTTATTACGAACAAGCAGTAGGATTTAAGTCACTTATTTTCTATCAAACCCAGTGTAAATAATTGTTACCTGGAGAGGTAAACTGTGTGTACATTTTCCCTTTCGAAATGAAAGGGAACTTATCCAGGTAATTCACATTGGGGGATTTGAGCCCATTTGGGGAGTAGTATCCCAGGAGGCTGGGTCCAAAACTGCACTCTCCTTGGACCTGAAGAGATTCAGTATCTGTACTGCATCTCTGGAGACAGGGATCTCAGCTTGGGGCCTCTGCTAGGGGAGACCAGCGGAGCAAAGCTCCTGTTATAGTAACACATTCCTTTTTCAGGGAGTTACTTCCACTCCAAAGAACATCTCACTACTGACATTCTGCTTGAGTATCAGAAGTGCAATTCAGGAAGAAAACTTCCACACAGTGTGCAGTGGCGGTCAAAAAGGCAAATAGGATGCTAGGAATTATTAAGAAAGGGATAGAAAATAAGACAGAATATCTTACTGCCCCTGTATAAAACTATGGTACGCCCACATCTTGAATACAGTAAGGAGACCACATCTGTACACCTCAAAAAAGATATTTTGGCCTTGGAAAGGGTTCAGAAAAGGGCAACTAAAATGATTAGGGGTTTGGAACGGTTCCATATGAGGAGAGGTTAAAGCGACTGGGACTCTTCAGTTTAGAAAAGAGGAGACTGAGGGGGGATATGATAGAGGTATATAAAATCATGAGTGGTGTGGAGAGGGCCGATAAAGAAAAGTTATTTATTAGCTCCCATAATAGAAGAACTAGAGGACATCAAATGAAATTAATGGGTAGCAGGTTTAAAACTAATAAAAGAAAGTTCTTCTTCACACAGCGTGTAGTCAACCTATGGAACTCCTTGCCAGAGGAGGCGGTGAAGGCTAGGACTATAATAGAGTTTAAAGAGAAGCTAGATAATTTCATGGAGGTTAGGTCCATAAAAGGTTATTAGCCAGGGGATAAAATGGTGTCCTTGGCCTCTGTTTGTCAAAGGCTAGAGAAGGATGGCAGGAGACAAATTGCTTAATCATTGTCTTCGGTCCACCCTCTCTGGGGCATCTGGTGCTGGCCACTGTCGGCAGACAGGCTACTGGGCTAGATGGACCTTTGGTATGACCCAGTACTGCCGTTCTTATGGTCTTATGATTCAAATAGTGGCAAATAGAGAACCTAAAATGAACAGTAGCAAGCATCATGTGCTAGCTCCCTACTAGTTTAAGATGTTACTTTGGTTACAAAAAACCCTGAAATTTATGGTTAATTTGTGAATACATAAAACAAGCAAACCTCAGGCTATGGTCAAGTCTTTGTGCTGCCAAACGTCTAGTCTATCCTTTTGGAATGTGAGATGAAGTGCACATTTCATGAACAAAAATAAAAATATCAAAGCAGATCAATGGTGACTGAACCCCCAGATGACAAAACATACGAGATCCAGCTGCCTTCTGAAATCCACTTTTACTGCTCACTGAACCACAGAAAACCACATTTTCTGACAAAAACATCTAATTATTCCACTTTTGTTTTGAGCCGTTCACTTTCTGAATGAGTCTTGGTGCAAAGAGATAGAGCTTATCAGTATTTGCACTTAAAAAATCCTGCCACGTCTAGACAGATTTCAAACATTATTCCTTCAATTCTATAAGCTGAAACTCAAAAAAGTGTTAGCACAATTTTACAATAGTGGACATGAAAGTTATCACAATGGTATTTCTGACCTTCAAAGCTCTGAATCTAATATGAAAACTACTGATAATAAGTGAGCATATGCACTGAAGGAAATAAGCTTGCCAATTCCTCAAGATGCTCCATCCCACCAACTGGTACCTTTACTCTATTTGTTCCAAGCCTAACCTTGTTGGCTTTCATCCACATCTCCACTTTATTCCACCACAGAAAACAAAAACGGTTGTGCCCAGATTCATAGAAAGCAAGACTGAGCAATATGCACAGAATACTGCTATTAATGAAATCCTGTGATATTGAATGTTCTCCTCTAGCAGTTGAACAAAGGAACAGAAGGCTGGAAAGAGGACAGAACCTGGGGTACCTCAATGCATTGAACATAAATCTGGATTTCTATAATATGAATTATAATAGCCAATTTATGTCTATTAACCCTCTAATACAGGGCTACTCAACTTTGGAAGCCCCAGGGGCCACAATGATACTCACAGCACCTGTCGAGAACCACAACTTAAGTGTGGTTGCATATATATGCAAATATATGCAAACATGTTTTCAAACTAACAGGCATGAATACAATGATTAAGGCAACACAACACAACATGCAGGCCCCATTTAAGTCAGTTCTGCTGATATTAATAAAACGCAATGGTTACCCGATTTCCAGTCATATGACAGCACTTTTAATGAGCAATGACAGTTCAGGAATTTAACTACTAAAACCCATCTCCACAGAAGACCGTTATATTGACTACTTTTTTGTTTTGGCTCTCATCTGCGCAATTTGGGAGCCAAAACAAACTGCACCACAGGCCACAAACAAATGGGCCATATGCCACATGTGAGCAGCCCTGCTCTAATACAAGTTCTACAGAGCAGCCCACAAAATTAATAAAATTACATCACAGGCTACGATCGACCCTGTACAGATATGCCCAAAGGAGACCATACTATTTTTGTGACAAAGGCCTAGAAACTTCTTCTTGATAGGTTCAAGAAGATTGACGTTAGCCTTGCAGAATACAAGAATATCAATTCTCTGTAGTTTAGTATCGGACTACACAGTTTCATTTTTCTCTGCGCAATGCATCTCGTAGTGGATCACATCTTGTATCTGGGAGTGCTACGAGGGTGCAGGAAAACCAGCGCCATGAGAGCACAGGCTGCCTCAGCAGCGTTCCTGGCATATATGCCAATATTGGAAATCGGTAGAGCAGCCACGTGGTCATCGGTGCACACATTCACAGAGAAGATGCAGCAGTAGTTGCGGCAGTACTGAGGTCTGCAGAAGTATAGTCAGGAGTCACCTTCTGACCCCCACCTCTAAGGGAACGACTAGGGATTCACCTAATCAGAATGGACATGAGCAAGCACTCGAAGAGGTTACTAACCTCGTAACTATTGTTCTTCGAGATGTGTTGCTCATGTCCATTCTACATCCCACCTACCTCCCCTTGTCGGAAGGAGCCGGCAAGAAGGAACTGAGGGGGTGGAGGAGTCATCAGGGGTATATATGCACTGGTATACTGGAGCCACTCCAGGGGTATCCCTGCCTGGCCCTATGGATACTACTAGGGGGAAAAAAGCTCTGGAATCTGTGCACACAGCGCATGTACACCTAATCAGAATGGACATGAGCAGGCACTCAAAGAAGAACCAATTATACTGGATTTTACATCTCTAGTCCTGACAACCTCTTTGGAAACGTGGAGGGAAGAGAGACATACTGCCTCTGTATCAAAGGCAAGATATGGGGAGAGGTTATTCCATGCTAACAGAATTGGGCTTTAAGGAAAATAATTTTTTTTTTAAGTACCATTAGACAAAAAGTGATTTTGTCCAGCTTTACATTTCAGACAATGGAGACAATATTTTATTACTATTGCCCACAAAAATCAACCCGTGTCTATGGAATAAAGGTGGACCCCATTGGTCTGGCATTCTTGGGACCTAACTGTTCCAAATGAGGGGATTTGGCAGACCAGGGTAGGTGCCTGTTCTCCTGACATGGGCTGCCACATGTTAGGATGCCAGCCTGCACTCAGCTGTCGCTCCAGGGTTGGGGCTCCCTGTTATACTGCCCATTCCCCCTAAACACATTCGGGAACTCAGCAGAATTGCTAGTGTCCCCTACAGCACTCCTGCATCACTGCCAGATGTCCCTGTTCCTGGGCTCTGTGGTCCAGGAACATCTGTGGTTGGTGTTGGACCAAGAAGTCCCGATTAAGGGAGGTACAACCTGTACCATGATGACTTTATGCACAATTCCTTTGACAAATACCATCACAAGCACTTACCTGCATAGGAGACACAGCAGCTGCTGGGGGTGTTTTCATGGGGCTTGGACCAAGAGGAGTGCGAGGAATTGCGGCTGTGGCAGGGCTTGGAACTACTGAATAAATAAAAAGAAAGCCATCCCAAACATGGCATGGTTATCAGTCAAATGTAGAAGTGGTTATGTAACCACATATCAAGAAAATTAAGGGCAGAACCTGACAAGTGTTCTGTTTGCTCATATTGTGCAGTGCTCATCTTTAGGAAAGCAACTTTCAAGTTTCAAAAGTGGGCCATTGGCTGTGTGCCCCCCTCATTCTCTCCTAACCTCCATATCTGGTCCCCCATTTTCCATCATAATGGTACCCTAATTCTCTCCCCCCACATGGTAGAAGCTCTCTGAACACACATTTTACCCACCTTGGCATATATTCCAACTCCACCATTCTAACTGGGTATCAGCATTTTCACACACTATTGGGAAGGGTAGAGCTAAGGTAAAAGGTATTATGTTGGAAGATGCTAACTACTGCCACCAACCAGTTATTTGATCTATAGACAATCACAGAGGTAATTGTGGGTCTGCTAACCAGATGCAAGGAACTGAGTCTCCCCTTCATCGCCCCCCTCCATTTTCCCAAATTTCCGACAGAAGTGCCATCAACTTGTGTGTAAACCTGGTTTTGCTCAGCCAGTCAGCAGATTCCTTATTACATGACTAGCAAATGATGTGAATTTCTTACCAGAAGAACAGTATTTATTTATTTAATCAACACAATTTGTCTGAGCAATCAACTTTATCCAAAGCTACAGATGAGTAAGTTTTCTGCTGATTTACTCATGTTACTTCTTCCTTTTACTAGAATTTGTTGCACAACTATTATGAACAAAATCACTACCCGACCTCAACTTAGAACTGAGGAGACTGAAAGCAACGAAGACTAACACTTAACAGGGAGAACACAAATGTAGAAATATGACTATCTACAGAATCTCCATATGACACAGATTATACTGAATCATATGAAAGGTTTTCAGGTAGCGAGTATGAAAGTGAATTGCCATTTACATTACATCTGTTTATATCACTCTGATAGTGCTAAGAGACCTTAAAGTGCATATAAAAGTAATTTAAAATGGAATTTACAACCACATTAAGGTCACTTACACTATCAGAGCAATTTAAACCAGTCTTAATATAAATGAGACTTAGGCCTTGTTTACATGGAGAGAGATAAGATCAAATTTATTAAGATTGATTTTCTAGTACTTGATTTTGGAAAGTCAAAAGTGTAGGTCTCCACTGCACACAAGAATTTGATATAATTCAACGTAGTGCATCCCCAGTCAGATGGCTACTGTCAACTTTGAGAGATGCAGTTCCTACATCCCCTTTGCATTCTGGGCTATGCTCCCCCTGCATGCTGGGTCCACAACTGTGCTGGGTGGTAAATATTGTCTGCATCCCATAATGCATTGGTCTCTCCCCCTCCGCCTTTGAAAGTAATGGCAAACAGTGTTTCTAAATCCTTTTTTCCCCCCCAATGCAGATGCCATAGCAGAATAAGGATGGAACCCATTCAGCCGTAAAGTATTATGGGAATCATATTAACCACAGTGTGCCTTATGCTGGAGTATATCCAGAGTGTATCCACGGCCAGCCAGAATGAAGACAAATCTCGGGAGGCCACAAACATACTCTTCTACAAAGCACTTGAATTCAGCAACTGGCAAATGGGACTGGCATTTGATCCTCTCTACACTTGTTTTAGTGTCAAACAGACTGGTGGGATTGCAGAGTGATGCAGCTATGAGATGATTAGCAGTGACTGCAAAACTTTCACATGCATAAGGCCACTTTTTTCCCCTAGGCTGAAGCACAAGAATACCAGAATGAGACCCCCTCTGAGAAATGAGAAGCAAATGACAATAGCTCTGCAATGCCAGAAAGCTACCGGTCAGCTGGGAACCTATTCTGAGTGGGAAATCTACAGTAGGAGGTGTTGTGATCCAAGTAGCCAAGGCAATCAATAACCTGTGTTATGGAGAGTAATGACTCTGGGAAACGTGCAGGACATAGTGGAGGACTGTGTCACAATGGAGATCCCTAACTGCGGTAGAGCAATAGATGAGATATACATCTTATCTTGGCACTCAACCACCTTGCTGAAGAATAAACTGCAAGGGGTACTTCTGATGCTGCTGCAGGCACTGATGACTCACAAGGGCCATTTCACTGACATAGAATAATAGAATACTAGGACTGGAAGGGATCTCGAGAGGTCATCGAGTCCAGTACCCTGCCCTCATGGCAGGACCAAATACTGTCTAGATCAGTGGTCTCCAACCTTTTTACACCCAAGATCACTTTTAAAAATCTCAGAACAAGCAAAGATCTACCGCCCCATCCTTCCCCCACGACCCCACCCCTTCCTTGAAGCACCACACTCTTTATTCTCCTCCTCTCCATCACTAGCAATCCCCAGCCCTTATACACTCTACACTGCCACCTAATGAGCCACCATTTTTGCAGAAGAGGCTCTTGTGCCAGAAGGTGCGTCTACACTGCCCCTTCTTGCGCAAGAAAAACCCTCTTGCACAATGCCGTTATTCCTGAAAATAATCAGTGTAGAGGCATTGCGCAAGAGGGTTTTTCTTGCATAAGAAGGGGCAGCGTAGACAGCTCCTTCTGGCACAAAAGCCGCTTCCACAAAAATGGTGGCTCATTAGGTATGCAAATGAGGCTAGGTGATATTCCATGCTTAGCCTCATTTGCATATTTCTGGCACAAGAACCGTCCAGAGTAGACATAGCCAAAAAGTTTCTGCATTGTCTTTATTTCTGAGAAGGGCAGGGAACCAGTTTTGAGTCAGGGGTCACTGACCCACAGAAAAGTCAGTTGGGGCCCACACAAGGGAGATGCAAAAAAACCCCCTCCTCCTAAAACCTCCCCAAGCCTCACTAATGTGACCCCAACTGTGCTGGTGGGAACAGAGGACATGGTACTGGGGAAGGGTGCTGGGGTAGGGGATAGAGTGCTGGGGTGGGAGCAGGATTCTGCAGCAGGGCACAAGGGAGAGGGGACAGGGTGTCGGGGGGAGGGGGACAGGGTTCTGCAGCAGGGGACAGGTTACCAGTAGGAGCAGGGGACAGGGTGATGCAGCAGGGGACAGGGTGCCAGTAGGGACAGGAAGTCCCCTGCACCAGCCTCCTCCCAGGACTCCCCGTTCCCGCAGAGGGAAGCCCCCATGTGCGCCTCCTCTGGGGCCGACTCCTCCCTCCCACAGCGCAGGGAAGCCCCCATGTGTGCTGCCTCCTCCAGGGCCAACTCCCCATCCTGCGGCACAGGGAAGCCCCCACGCACCTTTCCTCCGGGGACAACTCCCCTTCCTGCAGAGGAGGGAAGCCTCAGTGCGTGCCTCCTCTGGGGACCCCTCGCAAGTTCCGGCATACCACAGACCTGAGGGAGGGGACCAGTCAGCGCACTTCTGGAACCTCCAGAAGTGGCGCGCAGCTGCAGGACTTCTGTCCACCCCGCAAGAAGCCGGCACTACCTCCATTTTCGCTGGAGGTAAGTAGTGGGGCTTCTTGGGGGTGGAGAGAAATGGGCCTCATAATCGACTGGTTGAGCCCTCGCAACTGACCACTCGATCGTGATTGACTGGTTGGTGACCACGGGTCTAGACCATCCCTGATAGACATTTATCTAACCTACTCTTAAATATCTCCAGAGACAGAGATTCCACAACCACCCTAAGATGGTTGAGAAAGGTGCATGATGCATGTCTCTAAGAAATCCAGTCTCTTCAGAAAGCTGCAAGCTGGAACCTGATGTGCAGGGAGGATTCCTACTGGTCTCAAGACACATTAACAAGCTGTTCCAGGGAACCCCTGCTGTATAGGCACAATGGCTGCCAGAGATCACACCCGATATCCTTAACCCACTTGTTGCATGATTAAAAATGTGAACTCACCAGAAGTGACCTCCCCGACATCAGGGCCTGACTAAGACAGTCTAGGATGAGGGGATTGTCTGCCAAGTCATAAAAAGGTCCTGGCTGTCAGTGAGATCAGACACTCAGCTCACCTAATGACCATTTTTCTCCTCCTACTTATCCACTCTGTTCTCCATGCTGCTGCCCAAGGAATCCACGGACTGGCTAGGAAAGCTGATTAGGTCCTCCCTTCGGATAACATGCAGTTCATAAAAGCAGCACATTTGGGGTAATGACCCAGATCATTGTTTGCCTCCTTTGTCTTCTCATATGCCTGCCCATGCTCCATTATTTTATGAGACACTGCTGGGTTTCCCTAGCTTTATTTCTCATGAAAAGCAGGAGTTTTGAAATGGAATTTAATGGCCCTCAAAACTGACAGAATGAGCTTGGTAGTGTGGACAAAGTATTTAAAAAAAAGTGACCTAAAAATTGTGGCTACATTAGCCTTAAACTTACTGTGTCGATCACCTGTTTACAACTGTGGCAGTATGCTCACAGGGGATATAATTTCTGAAGCACAGTTATGTGTGATGCATTAATCAGTCTATGTAGACTCTACTCAATTTAATGTGCTATTTTAAGCACTGGTATAGCGCACTAGGAAACTTTTAGCACATACCAGATCAGAAGATGCATTATTTCACCACATAGACAAGCCCTATATTAACAACTCATTCTATGCACACACAAAAAATATCGTTAAAGTAAACACTAAGCATTTGTGACTTTTTGCTGTCCCATGTAAACTACATTCATCTTTGAAGGAGAATAAAGGCTATAACCCAAGTCCAAATTTTCAGAACCAAGACTTTAAAGTCAGTCTCTAAATTTAAAATGTCTCACTTCCTAAAGTGCCAAGTGCCCAATAGTTGCCACTGACATAGATGAGAGAGGTAGGGATGACACGCTTTTTTGGAAAAAAAAATGGTTCTAGTCATTATATAGCTTCTAGGATGCTCATTTGCAGGCATTTATGTCAGTGCCTTAAAGGAAGTACTGAATATATCCCTAAGCTGGGGACACAGCTGAGTGTACAATTGGTATTCTATTCTTGCTGAGTGAGAGTGCTGAACAAAACCATCTAATGTTCAAATCACTAGGTAAGTGACAGTGAGGGATAGAGAACATTCAACTCCTGGGGTTGGGGGAAAGAGGATGAAGAGAAAGGGCAGTTACTTAACAATAATGTATTACCAGTAATGTAATTCAGTGTACGTGGTTGTGTTTCAGACAGCATCTGTAGGTTGCTATAGAGGTGTCACGCAGCTGAATTTTGAAACAGCTAGAACATCTGCTGCGTACACATCAACATACAGAATCCCCAAACATTGTACAGTTGTAACACTGGCTGAAAATAATTACCTTGTGAGGCACTGTCGAAAGATTTGATTAGTGTTTTTACAGTGGGAGTTGGCTCCGAAGAAGTGGATGACCTGCGACTCAGCCCCATTCCTTGTCTCAGAGCTGCCAAATCCCTCTCTACAGCATTCATGTAATTGTATACACGGCCACGTTCCTCTTCCTGCCTGTAAACAAAAGCTAAGCCACCTTAGATACATCAAAAAAATATTTTATTTATGTCAAAAAGCACAGGCATTTAGCTTATAACTAACTTGTTATATTAACTACTTTTTGTTGTAATTTAGGTTTAGATTAATAATCAAATTAATTTAAATACCTGACAACAAGAAGCCCGAAGTGAATAAAAAGCATTCATCTATCAAGAGTCAAGGTTAACTTTCTGGAAAACACGGGACCCTAGTCTATGGCAAATCTAAAGTTTAAAAACCAATCAGTTGGAAAATAAACACACCCTGTTACATCTATTTTTGAAGGGAACAGTTTTTTATGCCTGCATAAGTAAAAAAGTTCACTGCATTTTTTTAGGGGTGGCAGTGTGTATGTTAAAGTTCACCACAGAATTGAGACTGAACTCTAGCTGCAAGCCAAAGGGACACTAAGGTTTTAGAAGGCAAGGGCCCTTTCAACCTATGTTTATGTTGATTATGACATTCACTGTCACTGTGATGGAGGATCGTTCTGTCTGGCAAAAGTACCTCCGCATGCCCATGTGGATCTGAGATGTTATTCATTGTCTCAGTTTCAGATCAAATACCATGCTAGCTACATTTTCCAACAGCAGCTACACAGTTACACTTCTTTTGGAATCTTAAAAGATTTTAAATAATCAATTTCAGCTATCTTTGACTTTTCTGATTTTAGGAAATAAATTACTAGTAGATTATTTTATCACGCTCTGCAACTAACATGGATTTAGGAAGCACTTCTGAAATCAGTATCTGAGAATGTGATGTCAGCTTGTTTTCAAGTTAACATTTAGTAGAGGATTCGGTTACAATTGTAAACACTGATTCCAAGAGGGAAAAAAATCAGTTCTAGAGGACTTGCAGCTATAGCTTGGAACCTCTTTAGTCTGCAACTCTCAGGATCTGACCAGTGATAAACTACAGAATTTTCCAAACCACGAAAAGCAATATTGTCTAGCACCATTACCAACATTTCCACTGCTTAGAAGACATTTAGGGGTAAATTAGAGCTAAATGATAGAACACAGAGCCAGGACTGGTGGCTGTAAACAAACTTTATGGGACTTTGGAAAGCTTGGCCACTAGAGATATACTTATCAGGTAGTCAACTACTCACTTCTTTCTCCCTTGCTTCCCTCCATCAGAGGCAGCAGGAGATAAGGAGGGGGAGAAGAGAGGCAGGAGCCAGGGCTGGGGGGGACCGGATTGGGGGAAGGGAGGGAAGAGCTGCAGTGTCCTGGAGCCAGCATGAGCAGGGACTGTTCAGTCCTGGCTTGCATCGGGCCCGGGAGATAACTGAGCTGCAGCTCTGCATTTTAAACGTAGTAAGAGCCCTCCTACATTTAAAATGCAGAGCCACAGTGGGGATAGTGCGCACCCCCCCCCCCCCATCAGCTAATTGAATAGCTGATGGAAATTCCATCCACTACTCTACTAGCTGATTAATTGCAATTAACATCCCTATTAGCCACATACGTTAACATCTAGCTAACTAAAATCATGCCAGGCCACAAATGTTCCCAGAACAGAGTGGCAGATTAGAGTGGTTTAACCTATAATACTTTTATTCTTCCAATATATTTTACCCACCAGGGTAGTGAGCTGATACCTACCTACCAACCAACCACCACCCGCAGTTAGTCTGATTCATTTCAACTTAATGAACAGATTTTCTACAGAAACCAGAGACTTGTCATGCAAAGTATAAATTACAAACTTCCTATTTTGAACATGCAAAGATTAGGTTAGAAATATCTATCAAAAGTGGATGCTATAATATTTTGGGTTAAGGCATTAATCTCCTTATATTCCTGGTATGAGTATCTTCTAGGTCAGTAGTAATTGGGAGTTTTACTACCTGACAGACTATTCAAATTGGTAGCTTCTCTTGAAATTAAAGTGATTTGTCATCACCATCCAAGTCATCTCTTATTTTCAATTATATCCTTCTCCAATCTGCTTTCTACATCTTACATATATGCAGTACATATAAAATTCCACTACAAAAATTATTTTTTCTGACCCAGCTGTGGTGTTCAAATGTTCTTTGCTTATCAGTGTTAATTTGTGTGACACTTTAAACAAGGTTTTAATCATGGGAACATGTATAAACATCACAAACATAACTAACTGCTGATTGGTCCTTTTGATTCAGACTAGAGACTAACAGTTATGCAGACCAAACAACTAAGAATCATTAAATACAAAAATAGGAAGGGAACAAGAGGTGATCAAGTCCAGTCCCCTGCCCTCACAGCACGATCAAGCACTATCTAACCTGGTTTTCAGTACCTCCAATGATGGAAATTCCACATCCTCTTTATGCAATTTATTCAAGTGTTTAACCACCCTGACAGTTAGGAAGCTTTTCCTAATGTCTAACTTAAATCTCCTTTGCTGCAATTTGAGCACATTGCTTTTTGGCTTCAACACAGAGAAATAATGGTCAGGGTTCAGGTCGGGTATTATGTTTGAGCTATATGCGCTACTGATTCTTTGAATTTTGTGCTTTTTGAAAGATGCCGGAACAACATAATTAGGGTCACTGAAAAATTACTACTATAAAAAACTCTGCACTAGTTGATGAGGTAAAGGTTTATTACTGAGGAAAACGGACAGTAACTTCAGAAAATCCAAATTACTTGTTTCCAAAATGCTACAATTCCATTTTAGATAAGCATACTATATTGCTTCTGTTCAATACACAAAAAAAGTCATTTTTTAAACAGCTCACTGTTGGAAGTTCATGGACTGATCTATGCAGTGATATCAGATTATTTTCTGATAGTGTAATTATTTTTTCCAAAAAATACCAAGTATTGGAGTAGCAACTATAACACTATGCTATACTGACAGTATAAAGTTAGCAAAAAAGATTATCCCATAGTCCAAAGAAACTGAACACTACATGTATGACTGGACAATCTCCTCTTCTTCTGAAACTGTCATTTGTAATATTCTAGTCTCAAATAAATCAATGCCATAACTAGAAATCAAATACCAGATGTGAGAATACCTAAGTTTTAAGCAGGTTGGTATGCCTATAATATTCCAAGGTTCACACTACCAGCCTATACAGGTTATCTAAAAGTAACCCTCTCTTGTAGAACTTCAAAGGATTTCTCTCTCAATTCAAGCTACAAGTTAGATTTTAACATCTTTTATATGATTAGTCTATGGTCAAAAAACAAACCTTTTCTTTTCTAATTAAGATACACTTGTGTTTTGCTCCTCTAAGATAAACAAATTTTCAATAGCACAGAAAAGACAAACTGCTTGCTTTCCCTGCCCTCTTCACGGAGGCTAAGCTCAAGTCATGGACTCTTAAAACACACTAAACTATCTTTTGTGTGTGTGTGCCAAAGTGTCAGAACTGCTATATATCCTCCACTGCAGAAAAGTAGTCAAGGAAAATAAACAACCCCCCAGAAAACATCTTTCAAAATTGTTCCTAGAAACATACCAAGAGATCTTAGGCTGAAATTATCTTGCCTCAAAAGGATAGTCTTGCTTTGACTTTCAACAGTGACAGCTAAGAAATTAACATCTCTAATCATGTAAAAGCAATATAAAAAACACAACTTCCAGTACTCATTAACATACTTGCGTGACTTTATTTCTTCCAGCTCTTTAGTGAGCTTTTCATTTTTCTCCTGAGACTCATGCAGTCTACGCTTTAGGTCTCCTATCTCCTCTTGGGCCTCAGATTTTATATCATTTGCTATGACCACTGCAGTCTGTAGATCAGCTTGGAACTGACGCCATTCTGCAGACTCCTCCTATAAATAACCAAAACTTTAAAACAGCAGCAACAAGGATGCTCAAATTAAAGAATTATCCTGATGCAAAGTTACATTGAACTTGGAGTAAAAAAATTGAAGTGGGTGATAACAGTACTCGACAGTCCAAAAGTAACACACTAAAGCAGGCATGTCCAAAGTCCGGTCCGCGGGCCAATTGCGGCCCGCGGTCGGATTTAATACGGCCCCCACTTCTCCCGGCTCCCCAGTGCTCCTTTTAACTGGCGCGCGCAGTGCAGCGCGCCGCTTCGGGCTGCGCTGCCGCCCCCGCCGCGGTCCTAGACCCTGCCCTGTAGGGCACCTCTGGAGCCCCGCTCCACCG